AACAACTGTCATATCTTAAGAAACAAAGCAAACAACAACAAAAAAATTTCTTTGGTCCTCGCTCCTCATTAGGTGTTACAAAATCTCATCTCTCACTTTGCAGTGAACTTTTTTGAAACAACAGTCTGCACAGTGGTTACAAGTGTGGCCTCTGAAGCCAAATTCCCTGGGTTCATCTCTAGACTCTCCTTAACAGTGCTTTGATAACAGGATGTTCTCAACAGATATCATCTTTATTAGGATTATTTTACTCTCATTCAACCCTCTTCTCTCTTAAAACTCTCTCTGTTCCTTATTTCCATAATGAAATGTACTCTTTCTCAGTCTCCTTTGCTAGCTCTTCTTCTTCTGCAAGTTTCTGAAGTGCATCTTTACCTCTTCATTTCACTTCTGTTTTTATGCCCTACATTCTCTCTGGGTGACATGGTTTTCTTCCATGTCTCCACATGTCCTGTGTGATAATGATTCCCTAGTTGATATCTAGCACAGCTCTCCCTCCTAGCTCTTGTTCAGCACTGTCCTGTTGAAGTATAATGCAAGCCACATGTATCATTTTCAGTATTCTAGTAGCCACATTTAAAAAACAAAAATAGATGAATTTTAATAACCTATTTTATTTAACATGGAATATATAAAATATTAAACATTTCAATATAATGTAGTCAATATAAAATTATTAGAGATATTTTTCATACAAAGTATTCAAAATCTGGTATTTTTTTACACTTAGAGTACATCTTAAGTATTAGACCACTTTGTATTGAGATTCTGTAAAATTTAGAGTTGAAAATTAGATTCACATACCCAGTTGTTCCATATCTACTTACAGGTTTTCCAATAACTGAATCAAATATCAAAAATTATTTTTCTTTAATACTCACATCCACCTTGACAAGATGTATACATCTTTTTTAGAAGAGACTATTTAACTTCGATACGAAGGCATATCAGTTTCAAAACTACAATGGACCAAGTAAATCCATTTACTCCTATGTCAACCTAGTATTATTAACATGAGTTTTATTTATTTATTTTTAAGATTTTGTTTATTTGACAGAGAGAGACACAGTGAGAGAGGGAACACAAGCAGGGGGCGCAGGAGAGGGAGAAGCAGGCTTCCCGCCGAGCAGGGCGCCCGATGCGGGGCTCGATCCCAGGACCCTGGGATCATGACCTGAGCCGAAGGCAGACGTTTAACGATTGAGCCACCCAGGCACCCCTATTAACATGAGTTTTATAGGGATATTACATAAGTTGAAGAAGCTACTCCAAAATTATCATATCAGCAAGACATTTTAAAGTATTTTTGGAGTCTTTTTGCAGACAATTTAAAAAATGTTGTCAATTGCAATTAAAATCTGCTTATTGATTCATGTTAGGAAAATGTATAAAATCATTATTTATTTGTATTTTAGAGATTTTACTTTCAATATGAGTTCTCTTATTTTTCCAACCACTTTGCAAATAAACTCTTGCCTTCCTTGAAGCTTCAAATTCAGCTCATTCATTTATGGTGTGATACTGGTCAGACAACATACATCATTGTGTCAGGTTTTTGTCGTTGATTACTGGTTAATGAGCAATTATTCCTTTTGTTGCAAGAACATATTAAATTAGAGTTAACAGTTCAGTGAATCTTTATAAAACTCTTCCATAACGTAACCAATAAGCATTGATGCAAAACACAAGATCATTCCATTTTTCTTGGTTTTTTTCCCCAGAGTTTCGTAAACTGTTGATGAGTCAGAGCATTTGCATGTATGTACTAACTCTGTACTAACAGTTGTATCCATGACGCTGGCCGTGGAGTCTGTTTCAAAAAACCAAACACAGATATTTTCAATATGTATAATATGTTGGTATGAAGCAATAAGACAAGTATCAGTCTGTAGTTTTAAAATGTTAAGTCTGAATTTTCCACCTAACATAGCTGAAGCACTGACCATTGTGACAGAAACTAATTTTTTTATATCTAACTAAAATTATTCCTTAGCTGATAAAAGAGATTTAAAAATATTTATGTCATGAGTTGTAATTTTTAGATAGTGAATTGCCAACATTTCTTCATAGACTCGGTAGTTCTTCGAGAAAAAAAAAATAACCAAAGTACTAATTGGGCAATGTCCCTTATTTGCAGAGTGCCCTATCTTAAAAAGCATGTTTTGAACACCATTCCTTTGCTCATAAATGCTCAGAAAATCTTCAAGCTTTCATGGTTAAGTCCAAATTCCCCAGCATTCACTTCTATGATCTTGTCCCCCCGATCTTCCCAATATCACCTTTTTTACTCTTTCCTCTTAAACTTTCATCCAGTCATGCTGAAATTGTTGTGGTTCTCCCAAAAAGCCATTCTCTTTTGCTTCTCTCTCTGTCTCTTTTTTTTTTTGAAGATTTATTTATTTATTGAGAGAAAGAGAGAGAGTAATGTGGGCGCAGTGAGGGGCAGAGGGAGAAGGAGAGAGAAATTCAAGTAGACTCCTTGCTGAGCGCAGAGCCCAAGATCCGAGGAACCATGAGATCATGACCTGAGCTGAAACCCAGAGTCACTTACCTGACTGCACCACCCAGGCAACCCTCTCTCTTGCTTCTCTATGCCATTTCACTTTTATTCCAGAAAGAAGCCCCTCTCTGCTCCCCTGCTACCACCTGTCTTCCTTCTGCTCATCTTTCAAAACTCAGCAGAGGAGGTGCCTGGATGGCTCAGTTGGTTGAGCATCTGCCTTCAGCTCAGGTCATGATCCCAGGGTCCTGAAATCGAGCTCCATGTAGGGCTCCCCGTTCAGCAGGGAGTCTGCTTCTTTCTCTCTCTCTTTCTCTGTCTCAAATAAATAAATAAAATCATAAAAAAAAAAAAAACAGCAGAGAAATCATCTTCTCTGGAAAACCTCTCCTGACAGCCCTCTTACTGTCCAGTCTGGAATTAGTATCCCTTCCTAGTCCTCCATCTCCCCCCCAGCCTCCTCCAAACACACTGCCATAGTACTTATTCCACTATACTCTAGTTACCAGATGGTAAGCTCTTTTGAGAGCAAAGGTGGTGCTTTTACCTATTTCCGTAATACCCAGAACAGCCCCTGACAGATACTGGGTGCTCAGAAATAGTTTTGGCATATCCATTAACTATCACGTCACGTTGATATTATATGTTTTAAGGGATACCTGATTAAGCTTGTATAATAAACAACTATCCTGAGTGTAAGGGGTTCTACTCTACACTTTAGGAGTAATGCATTACTTTTAAATAGAATAATTAAATAGAGAGTTGGATGCCTTACTTTAAGACGCTTACTGACATTTTTGTCTTACTCCTCTCAAAAGGTTCTAACCATTTAATTTGTTTAGTATGACCTAAGTTTTGTCATTGTATTTGATTAATACTGGATTTTGCTTTTGTTACTAATCAGCCATCTTTCCCTTTTTCTCTCTCGGTCCAGCTCCAACAGAAGCCACGATGCACCCACATCTAGGTAAGTGCTTAAGACCCTGATGTCACTAATCTTAGTACTAGATGTGCTTGTTTCACTCCTCTGCCTAGGTGGGCAGATGATATAAAGGTGAGGAAACTTCCTGCCCTCTCTGATTTTCACTAATCATTCACTGGAATCGGTCTTAGGTTCAGATTATGCTTGAACACAGGACCTCGCCAAGGAGGTGATCATGGTGCCCAGCTGGGGCTAATGGAGGGATTTTTGAACCTGTTAGTACATTCAGCTTTGGGATCCTGTTGAATGTGACCTTTCCATCCTATATTCTAATGCTAAATTCTCCCCAGAGCTCCTACCCATCACAAATAGTAGATCATAAGGATAGTGGGTAGGGAGCTAGGAGTATGGAGGAATGGAGGTCATTTTGGATTTGAGATACCTGTTCAGACCAGTGCTGGGTTGTAAAAAGAGAAGGAATTTGGCCATTTCTTTAAAAATTAAAATGAGGCTGTTTAAATAGCTATAAGCTTTGTTTCATGGCACCATGTAAAGTTACCATTTCTCATTTTGCTCGTGTTCTTTCCATAATGCCATGCGAGGCAAGGTTGTGTAGTGGTTAAGGGGACAGCTTCTGGAGCCCTTACCTGGGCTCATCTCACCGTCTCACTTGCTAGCCATGTACATTGAGTAAGTTATTTAGCCTCTCTGGGCCTCAGTTTCCTCATCTGTAAAATGGACGTCATAATAGTACCTACCTCCTAGGGTTGTTCTGAGGATGAAATGAATTCCTTTTCGTAAAGTGCACAGTCAATGACATAACAGTGTTTGGAAAGAAGTAAATACATGAACAATAACCGTGGAGGCTTACCCGTGCCTTTGCCAAACATTCGCTAGAAAACAAGTGATCTTTAAGAGTTCAGTTTCCCATTTGTGTTAGTGAAGATTTATTTTAAAAGCCATTTCCTACACTATACTATGTCATAAGAATGAAAAATAAATCATCCTGGCTGGCTCCAGCCTTTTCAGATGTCTGTCGCGGTGGGACTTGGAGATGGGTCAGTTATTTGTCTCTTGGGCTCTTCCTTTCAACCTACAAACCCAATTAATTTATTTTTCTCTTTGGAAAATCCGCCTCGAGAAGCTCGACTTTTATGTAATGCTACAGCTTGGGGCTCTTCTTTGGCAGACGAACGCCAGCACTTAGAAGCATGCCTTCTGGCAGCCGAGGCAGGCTGGTAACCCGCAGTGGCCCAGCCGCGTCTCGGCCAGGTTAGGTGTCTGGGAGAGCTGTACCCTGGACGCATCTCAGGCCCCACATCTGATGGCTCAGAGGAATCATTAAATCACTCCCACGCACAGAACACATCACAGCGTTCTCTCCAGCGGAAATCCATATTCTCCCCATTATCGTGCCTAAGGCTTCCGAGTTTGAACAGCCATCGCTCTTAATACATGCTGATTCACTGGTTGCCTGGACTTCGTTATGTGCTCACCTGCTGGTGTACCCAGAATCAAGAGAGCACGGGTGGCTGAGGGTGGTAGTGTCACCAAAGAGAATCTGGAAGGATGCTTCCTGAGAGTTGGAGGTGATTTTAATTACCCAGTGAGTTAACGTATTATTTTCAAGTGAGCCAAAAAATATATATATATAATAAAATATATAAAATATATTTTATAAAATATAAATAAAAATATAAAATATATAATAAAAATTTTTGGTTATTTTTTGGCTAATCACTTTCCTATGATTTTAATTTTTTCCAGAAAGCATATGTAAACTCATTCAAACAAAATTGTACAGGCTCAGAGAATTTATACTAGCCAAAACAAACTTCGCAAGCAAACCACGGGTATCAGATGAGAGAGGGTTTTTAAGCACTAAATTCATTTTTTACAACTTGAGTAGAAATAGTGATCATTTCTCATACAACTTTAAAAATGAGCCGTGAAATTTTTTTACTTGCCTGCCTTCTTTTCAGTGGAAATATCACATATTCTATAGTTTATGAAGACAGTCTTTGCTCTTGGAATGGCCAAAGTTGTTCTAAAGCTTGAGAATAGGTATTTAATACAATCTCAAGTGTAATGATGGTATACTTTAAACTGTGGATGGCTTCCTGGTATTCGTCCTGACTTTTAACATGACTTTACTTGGGACTTTCATGGACTCATGTAGATCATTTCTCCAGTGCATCTCTGAGGGGAAAAAGTTGCTAACAATTTGCAACACATTAAATTTTTAAAAAATGAGTGAATATAGGGAATGAGAGAAAACGAACCAGGGCAAGAGGGATAGTAGGAAAGAGAAGAGGAAATGGGTTAAACACCAGCCATATTAGCCTATGGTAAATAGCCAGAATGTTCCATCTCCTTCTATGCTGTAAAGTGAGTTAACACTGAATCTTTTCTGGGCATATGGAGCTATGAGAAGCAAATCTTGCATGACCCCTCTTTGTAGGTTAGTACTGACCTTGGCCTTCCTACCTCTTCTGGCTGGTGAGGATTTGGTAGGGTTTCTCTTTGGGGACTCTGGTTTTCCGACTTCTGTGTGTCTAAATAGCAGAACCTTTACCCTTTCCCTTCATAGTTTAGGGGCAAAACAAATACAATATAATCAACCGCTCATTTTAAATTCAGCTTTAATTTAAAATATTGTTATTCCTCATAAAGGCAGCACATTGACACTTCTGTGTAGCTAAATCTATTGTGTAGTGTAATTTTTTTTCTAAGTATTTTATTTTTCTTTTAGCTGAAGTACATAGCGACAGCATTATCCTACGAGATGACTTTGACTCCTACCATCAACTAGAGTTGAATCCAAATATATGGTAAGTTACAGGAATATGCCTCACTTCGGTTTGTTTGTTTAATGCAAAAAAAAAAAAAATGATGCTGACCACTCCCTTGGAGCAGCTACATAACATTAAATTGCTTGCTAGCACTAAGGGAGCAGTGAGAGTTGTAAGTTGTTCAACTAGGAAACTGGGCTTAATATAGACTGCATGATGTCCAGTTCATGACTTCTTTAAGAGCTTAATCTAGGGGCCATCTCAAAGCCATGTGTATGGTTAGATATTTTGTTCAGTTGTACAAGTTCTTTCTGTAGAAAAAACTATGCTTTAATGCGTCTAATAATCGCATTTATGCTGAGCAAAAGAAGGGAAATGGTTATCTGAAATGACAGGTGATTTGAGTCATACTTCAACTAATTTCTAAGTTATTGGGTCACCTCATTATTTATACTCCAGTTTCTCCTTTGAAAGTAGCTTAGGTGCAACTCCATGGGATATTTGAGGGCAAAGAAACAATTAACCAAGCTCATTCATTAAAAACTCGTTGAATACATAAATGGATGCATGGATTTGTTGGCAGTTTGTTGTATTTTTGCTGACTGGAGAAATAGGTCTATCAGCCTAGAGCTATAATCAATCTGTGTAATTTCAGGGAATGTCTGAATGTGGATTTTCTATGATACTAAATGTTTTTGTATGCACAATCAAGAGTTCAAGATAAATTTGAAGCTCTAATTTAAACTTTCAAGTTGCAACCAAAATCCAAACAATGCTCAAGGCTAGAAAGAAAGTGAAAAATACTGATTCAGATGATACACGCTCTGCTATGACTATTGCAGCATTATTTACAAGAGACAAGATATGGAAGTAACCTAAATGTCTATTGATAGGTGAATGGATAAGGAGGGCGGGGATGTGTGTGTGTGTGTGTGTGTGTGTGTGTGTGTGTGTGTGAGAT